CACAACTCAATTGGTATTGCACTGTTTAATTATATATAAATTTTTTGTTACGAAATTTTAAATATTCAAATAGGTAAGTAAACGACAAATTAAAAAAGTTTATTATAAATGTCACCGTGTTATAACAATTTTGCTATATTAAAAACGTCTTTTGTAAAAATAACAATTCACACCTTCAAAAAAATACAATAAATCAATAAATCAATCCACTAAAAAGTCTAATAATCCAAACAACTGAAAAATAGATTATCCGATATCAAATATACGCCATCCATAGTAAAATATGCCTACCAAAACTTCTTAATCAAAATGATGTTCAAACTTCAGTTGAAAAAAATGAGAAAAATAACTTACGAGGATACCTATTTGTAATATAATAACCCTTTATCTTATAAATACAAACCAAACTATTCCTACTCTGAATCAAACATTTTCGCCGTGTTTTTTAAAGCTGTCACGGCCACAAACAAATTATATCATGTGTTACTGCTAATTTAACTATCTATTTTGCGGTGACTCTCTATATATTCCTTGTCGTTCAGCAGAAAAGGAATGGATAGATTCAAGGTTTGTTATCCATCAGTGTCCTCGCAATCCAAAACGGGAAACAAAGTGGTCGCAACCATTATCAAAAGTTGCAGTCAGTATGTATCCTTATTATTCATATTTCTAATAAATAATTCTATCGTTAAATTCAATGCTTATAGTTATCTTGCTCAGTTTATTATATCATCAGCTAATCAGTACCTGGAAAATTGCATCAATAAATGGATTGACTTGAATACCATTTTCAAAGACAACATCAGTGAACCAACCGCCCTATAGAATCCTTTACAGTGGTTCAAGACCTTCACTTCCATCATTCTGTTTTAACATCAGGGATCCTTCACTTTTTGATGTTGCTTCTACTAGATTTATTTATATATTCCAAAAAGCAAGAAATCTCTTAGGAACCTTGTCACTAAAAAACAAACAAGTAAAAAAATTGCTCCCCTCCTGCATTCTTTATTAAAATATATTTCAAAAAATCCTCATGCCAAAAAATTTTGCTCTTTCACTCCATTCTAACAAAGAAACATAAACATTAGAAGCTGTACCCAATGAATAATATTCAGTGAATATTTGGTTAATCAGATATTTGATTTTTTCATTGATTTGATTGACTGAATATAATAAATTAAAAATGGATATTTACTGAATAACTGATAATCAATAAATAAATTCATCTAATTAAATTTAAAATGGAGAAAAGCCTTCAATCACTATAATAGGAGAAAGTGATAATACAATAATGAGAAGGGATGAGGTTATGCTGCTCATATTTTGAAGTAAAGGGTGGTTCTAAGAAGTCAAGTTGGATATGAAACTTGATGGAAAAAACTGAAATTGTAAAAAATTTAAAGGAACTATTTGTCAAGTCAATGCCTCCAAAGTTTTTGGTATTATTGTTCCTTGTAATGTTGTATGTAGTATGTAGTGATGAATCTACATCCAATTATATTATACACTTATATGATGACCTCAAAAAGAACAAAACTTAATCTGAAAAGTTTTTTTTTTTGAAAAAAAAAAATATTGATAATTTTGATAGAATGTAAAATGATTA